CCCCCACAATCTGGGTCCTCATTTTACCCACCTCAGAAGGATGGAAGGCTGAGTCAACCTTGAGCCAGTGAGATTTGAACCGCCAAACTGCCGAACTAGCAGTCAGCTGAAGTGGCCTGCAGTACTGCACTCTACCCACTGCGCCACCTTGGCTCAGTAAACTTTAAAGTCATTTCATATTCCCCACTGAAGATCCAATCTTTAATCATGTTTAGCACAATTAACAAGCAGGGAAAAACTGGCCAGTATATTTTTGAGCCAAACTATAAAATGGATGTGTTTGGGTTGTCTGATTTAGAGCCAGTTATAAACTGATCGTGATAGACAGATGTTACTTGATGAAATTGGTATGGCTTACAACTCAAACCCTAACCATGAATTAAAGTATTTGGAATTCCATGGCTCTGTACTGCTGACACTTGGATTAACTGATGATTGATGCAATTGTTCTATTATGAAAGTTTAAGAAAGCCAAATGGTATTTTTTCCAGCAAAGCTATGCAGGTGACTGATTTGATTCACTCTTGTAATGAAATTGACTAGAGAAAACAACATAATCTCTGTTTTCTCAGCTTATCTACAAGCATTATAAACACTTTAAAAAAATGAAAGGCAATTTGAGAGTTGCAAACAGACATATACATACACAACTAAGCTAAATAGGCACAATGAGACACCTACTTTCAGTTGGGGGCAATTAAGGGGGAAAAAGGGGAAAAGACAGTACTGTCTGCTTGGCTAATGATATTTCCATGTATGTGGAACACAGCATGATCACCAGAAATTGGAAGGCTGATTACATTTGGAACAAAATAGAAAGATCATGATTTTTCAAGTGCTAAGAAGTCTAGTAGTACAGTTTGAAGTAGGGTTTCCCAGGCAGCTTAGTCACTACTATATGGTTCTCCAAGCCCGACTTCTCTACGATCAGGTAGCCAGCCACTCATTTTATTTTTCCAGAAATCAGAGCCATCCTTTTCTTGGAATCTGGCCAATTATCAGCCTTAATCTTTTTGGCTTTGCCTTGTCTCTTTCCCTTTCGAATTCTGTCACAAACAATTCCATTTCCATGGACACTCAACCAGTAGTTTTTATTACTCAATAGTAATTATCATTATGAACAGGCCATCCAAACAGAACATCTGTGTGAAGTTCAGTCAACCTAGGAAAACATTTATCAACTTGTCAATAGTTTCCATACTGAAATGATAAATCATTGTCCTTGATGACCTTGATAGAGCTATGCAGAATCTGTTGCCTAGGTAAAAGGGGCTGAAGCATTTTTAAAATCCAGAACAAGATGATACTCAGAAGCAGCTCAGACAGAGGCCTCCCTAATTCACTGAACTGCAAGGAAGAGGAGGCGGTGGTGGTATAGCATCCTCAGATTTCCAAGATTCCCATAGTATAGCCAGTGTCAATAAAAGTAGTTTCAGCCTTCCTGTGGCGTTGATTTCATGGCCTGGTCTACATAAAGGCCTGACAGCCATCAAATACCAAATGCTCAGATGAAAAATAAGAAGAATTATATTTATATGAAGCTATATTGTTTCAGTTTGCCTTTATATTGTTCCGCTCTGGAAAATATACATTTTGCTTCCTTAGAAATCAGAGGTGATACAGTGGCAATCTAATGTATATGCATTATTGAAAGGGTAGGGAAAAAAGCATTGCTTCTGGTTAGCCAGAAATGTCTGCAGAGTGTAGTACAAAAGATCAAGATGGCAGCCGCAGCATAAAAATAGGTGAAGCTTTGTCTGTAGGTTGTGGCTGCCATCTTGATTTTTTTTTAAAAATCATACCTGCAGACATCCCAGTGGCCAGCCATTTTATTCCTTGCATTTTTCTCTTCTCACAGCCCGGAGATGCTGGCAGCTGAGGAGACTGATGGATCAACTTCTTTGTCTCAACCCATCCCCTCAGCGAAAAACCTCCAAGAAGGTTTGAACAAGAAAACTATCCTATGCCTGAATAATTTTGGAAAAAGAGTTCTGATTGGTATCATACCCCGAGAAAATAGCATTTTTAGACTCAGAAGTGGGGGGAAATGAAATAAATTAAACTTCTCAAAATGAAGGACCAGGTAGCTCAGAAGTCCACGTGGGCACAAATCTACAAGTGAAAGAGAAGTTAATATGTACACTCCATGAGTTTTAATCTCTGCTGTCCTGCACAAATTTCGTAGAATGCTGGAATGCTTTTCCTATTGCAGTACCTTCTGTTCCATTCCTGTAGTCAGTGTTTGTAGTCTCAGGCTGGGAGATGACGGGGAGCTTTTCTCCTCCTTTGAAGGACTTTTCCAATTTATCTGGAATTACTTTTGAATCCAACATTCCAGACAGCCCTTTGCACTGCCCCTTTGGCTGGGCTGACTGGGATGAAGCGGATAGGCAGAACATCAAAAGCTTAGTAAAAATGAATGGAAATGTTATGGTTTTGGACAGTCTGTTTCTATTCCAGACTGGCCTTGTGATGAACAACATACATACTTCATTATGGTAATGGAATAGGTTAGCTATGCAACACTGATATTCTGCAGTCATTTATCAGTGTTTTACCCTTGTCTCCTTTTTCTTAATAGGGTTAATCCCTTTAGGCAGGAAAACTTAAAATAGCAAGGGAAGCTGAGCATCAATCATGACCTTTTGCTGTCAGAGATTTTGGAAGATGTTCAGTACCAGAATTGACCTATCCCTGTTCATTCATCCCTGAGCTGTCATGGCAGGAGCACAGATGTTTTATACATTAGCATGCATATCTAGATTTTAAATGTATTTTTAAGCCAGACTTTCAAACCACTTGAGAATACCTTATGTTGCCCATCTTTGTATCTTTGTATTTCTTTGAATGGAAAGAATAAGGATAATTTTCTACTATTGTTCAGTGATAGAAATTGATGAACTAACTGCAAAACATTTTTCTTTATTATTATTTTTTAAAAAATCTGTACGCCTACATGACTGGCCTAATTATGAAAGGGGAATTGAAGAAGCAATTGAATCCTTCCAGCAGATAATATCACTGCCTAAGAAAAATTCCTTTGCAGATTAATATGCCACGATCATATGGATCTGCTTTAATTATTATAGTAAAGTCTTTCTTCAAATAATAGATAATAGATTTCTTTGTTACAAACATAAGAATCCCAAAACTGCAACAGGAAGAATGATAAGAGGGTATTTTGGAATTCTGTTCCATTTATTTGTTTATAAAAATTACACATGCACTTGTATGTCACAAATGTGTGCACATTCAGAGCATTGTATTTAGGAAAGTAAATGGAGTGAAAGGAAACAGACGATGTGGGGTGGACAAAGTACGTGGAACTCCGAGTTTACCTATCTGTCCTGTTGTGAGAATGTGATATGGTAAGTTTCCTCAGAGGGAAATACTAAAAAGAACTAAGTGGATTTTCCCCTGCATTTCTACAAGCAATAAAAACAAGGATATAAAACAAAGGAATACAGCTTGAGACTCAACAGATAATTGCCTTCAAATTTGCAGGCATGGAGGACAATAAATTCTGTTTTAGAAACTGTAACCCAAGATGCTTAGAATACATGGCCATTTCATGTGCACCTCCATGCTTTCTTTGCCCATGTGCTAGATCTCATGATACACACAGCACTCGTTGCAGCAACTGTGTTAAGGAACAAGCAACTGAAAATGAGATTTGGATTTAAGCTTTGCTGCCTTTCTTCTGATCTTGGAACTGATTACTTATTCCTTTCAGGATTCAGCAGAGATTGAAGACCCAATGAAGCCAGAAGAGGTACGTTTGGAAGTATAGCATCAGGCAAACTTGAGGGGAGTTGACATTTCCAATCAAAGTCATGCCAGGATATTCCATGAAACAGCCTTGTGATTATTTTAAAACAATCACAAGATTATTTATCCATTCTCCACTATGAAATGTGACTTTTGAAAACAACTCCTTATTTTTTCTGTGACAACTATACAGTCGTATATGTTACTATCAGTATGCGTGGCACCTCCGAGAACAATGGGAAAGAATATAATAGTCTGCAGGAAAAAGCTGAAGGTTAAAGGGGGGAGATGTGTGTTAAATCTTCCCCCTACACTAACGCTTGTAAAGCATTGCATGAATCATTTTCAAAAATATATTTGTACTTAATAGTCCTATGACAAAAAGTACAGTGTAATATCTATCATGCTTATAAACTATGTATGAGCTGTGTGACTCAAGAAAACAGGGAATATTAATAAGGCCACATGGTTGGGATACCCAATAGCACTGCAATTGCAGGATTTAATTGATATCGAGTATGTTCACTTTCATCCAGTTTTCTATCTATAGTGGTACACAGGCTCAGATTTTTTTGATGAATACTGTGGATAGCTCCAAAGCTGCATGACTTTAAAACACTGTGGGGAGAAACTGAGTAGAGCCTTCTTCGCTTTGCTGGAGTGAATCAGTTCATTTCTGTAGTCCCAAATGCTTTGTTGAAGTGGATTTGTGTTGTTTTGTCAGGCCTGGTAAGTAACATACCCCTGGAAAGGGTCCTTGGTTCTCTCTGAGCTTCTTATTTTTACAGACATTTCATTAGCCAAACTAGTAATGAAAACTGCTAGCACTGATAATGTTACCTAGTTTGGGTAATGAAACGTCTGCAAGAAAACAGCCAAACTCAGAGAGCACCCAGGATGCCTCATTTCAACCCTGAGCTACAAATATTCTCTTTCACTGGTAAGACACCCTTTCTCCAAGCAGTGACCTGACAACAACAGTGAAAACACTGCAGCTTTTTGCAGAAGCCACCATGATTACTGAAAACCATGTAATTGAATGGAAAACTAGGACTTTGCAAATGAAAAATTTAGGAGAATGGGTTGGAACACATATTTTTTTTGTTCTTAAGAGAGCCTGTATAATGTCTGCATGAGTGAGAGTCTGTACAATATTCATGTAGACCTCCCTCCTGATTTCATTAGGAGATGGACTTTAAAAATTAAAAGCAAAGTATTCACGGAAAAAGGAATCTATGAGAAGGAATGTAAATGTAAAGAAAATGGAAAAGTGTACTGAGAGCAGTAGGAAAAAAGAATAAAAACATGGTGTTTGCTTTTGGAAAGAGGTTGGTTTCAGATTCCCCATTACAAATGGCTTTCTCACTGCTCTCCTTTGGATCCCAGTCAACCAAGAAGTTAGAAGAGGAATTGGACAAGTTGGGAAATGTACCCAAGAAAGTAAATCATGCTGGCCCATTGGCTAAAGTAAGCAGCCTGGGAAAGTGGTTGGTGAGAATTACTTCTCTGAACTTGTGAACTCTTTTTTTCCTGTGTCAGATAGAAGTTTGGGAGCAGGAGGAGCTGGAGAAAAAGGTATGCTTCAGCAGCTGCCGCATAGATCCTTCTCCCTTTCAGCTGGTCGAGAGAACATCACTGCACAAGGTGGGTGCCTGCATTTACTCTTATTTTCTACTTTCTTTGCTATCCAACTCTACTCCCATCAAGGCCTACACCTTCTTCTGATTTCATGATCTCTTTGTATTTCTTGGCCTTCAACATAAGGCGTGATCTTGCTCAAGCTTTAACCTATCAGACGTAGTAAGGCTCTCTCTATATAGTATGGCCTTGACAATTCTTCTCTAATTTTCTCTTTCAGGCAAATAAAAGGTACAGAATTGGGCTGAATATACAAAATGCAGATCTGTTCTCTTTTCTTCTGTTCCTTCTTGCCTCCCCAGCTCCAGTTTCTGCCACATTGTCTTACTATCATATTTTTTTTCATCCATCTCTTTTCCATTGCATGTCGCCACCTTGCCATGCAATTTTGCAATGTGAAGCTGAACTTCTAGAATTTGAATAAGAAAAATAGCATTAAAAGCAAAAGAACCACCCCAATGTTCAATTAAGTTTATTTGTTATCATTCTTGCTGGTTCTGTGTCTTGGTACTACCACCCTTAGCTTAGGCTATTAGCAGAAAATTTCATCTAAGACGCAGTGGTACTTCTTTAGACAATCTTCTCTACTAAAATGAGTTCTGTATGGAGGTAACAAGAGGGATCAAACTAGTTGGGCTTTACTTGTTTAATCTTTGCAGGATTAATTTTCCTAATAAAATTGGGAACAGAAATTGTTGAGTAAGTTGTTCTTTATTCTCAATGTTTATTTTCATTGTTCTTAATTCCCAATACATATTTCAAAATAAAGACGTTAATAACAGTGCTTCTTATGAATATGAATTATCAGTAAATATAAAATTGAAGAAAATCTATTTAGAATTTTTATATGTTTAATCAATTCCAAATATTTCAATCTATGTATAAGGTGACCTTCTTTAATTATTGTAGGTAGCAAGGTTTTGTTTAATATAAGCACATGTGTGATTAGGAGTGATGGGCCCTATTATAGCACAAATTGCCTATTTCCCTGTCTTTCAAAGAAGAAAAGTCTTGGTCTCACCTAAAATGATACTGGCAAGGACATATACAAAACCAAAAGGCATATTTTCCCTTTTACCTGGTTTGATTTATTCTCATTTACAGTGCAACCCAGTTTTACTAAAATCTAAGTTTTTCCAAAGAGTTTACGTCTATGATCCTCCTGAGCCTTGGTGGATCAGTGGTTAGAATGCAGTACTGCAGTCTACTTCTGCTGACTGCAGGCTGCCAGAAGTTTGGCAATTTGAGTCTCACCAGGCTCAAGGTTGACTCAGCCTTCCATCCTTCCAAGATCTGTAAAATGAGGACCCAGATTGTTGGCGGAAATATGCTGATTCTGTAAACCGCTTAGAGAGGGCTGTAAAACACTGTGAAGCCGTATATAAGTCTAAGAGCTATTGCTATTCTATTGAGTTCAGAAGAGCTTAATTACATTTATATCCCATCTAGATGAACTCTTCCTCCTTTTGCTATCTGAGAATACTATTTACCATGCTAGTAAGAAGATAAAGATAATTTAGCCTGATGGGTCATAGGTTATGCAGTATTGGAAAATTATTTAACCCATAATTTTATTTTGCATATTGCATTACTATATAACTCAATATCAGTTGACCTGGTACAATTTATTTTTTTAATGCCAACAACGTATTACATTGTGTTAATTGGACAAATGGATCTCCGATTCTAACTATTCCAATTTCAGACATGAAGGTTTCATTCTTTGGCTTTGCTTCATGTTTATTCATGCTAATATGGGTAAAACAGTTCTACCATTTTTAACCTGTTTCAAATTCTCCATGAGTTTGCAATGATTGGCCTGTTTTATTTGCTAATTTGTCTTATCTTCTCATTTCTGTAGACACATACCTTGTTCTCATTGCTAGGACTCACCCATGCCTATGTAACCAGTATGGGAAAACTAAAGGGTGTGATTGCACTGGAAGAGGTAATTTAAATAATGTTACCTTTGTATTTTGTCCAGTTGAGTCTTGCTTGAGAGTAAAGAAAAGGTCTAATGGAAAACCCAGAATGGGGGGGAAAAAGATGGTAACGGGAGTATTACTCCTTATACACGACTTATACTTTACTCTTACCATTCCTTCTGGGATCCTGGTGGTGCCTTCTCAGTCCACATTTAGAAAAGGCATTTAATACCTTTTATCTTCCATTTAGCTTTATTTTACATTTCATATTCTTTCAATACTATCAGCAATATATAACATAACTCCCCTATGGACTTTAGATTCAGTTCTCAGAGCTTCTCCATACAAAGCCAGCAAAATGTAACTTGTAGTATCAATACCTGCAAATAATGTGTACTATTTAATTTTATTTTCATAAAGTTTAAACTGAAATATTTTATTTTATTCTGGCCTCTTTTTCATCCTTCCCTAATTTTTGAAGTGTACTCACTTGAAGGCTTAGTGCATCCTTGCTAAAACTTGCAAAATCTGATATAGAGATATATGATTACCTAGTCTATAAGAGAAATCCCTTTTTAAACCCTCTTACATTCAGAAGAAAAAATATCTTATAGCCTTATTATGGCTTTATTGGCTATGAAACCAACTGGATCGTGGCCTTTTCCAAAAAAGGAGAAATTAGGTTATGGACTTGAGTTGGATTTATACATGCTTAACTACCATGGCTTTGTCCTTCCTCCTATGAATCTTGGGTGGAGTTAATGGCTATTGAGCCCTTTACTTCTTTCATGTAAACATACTCATCAGTATTTTTATAGAGCAGTCATTTTCAGCAACTCTCCAAATTTCCAACCAGCGCTACTTGAAGAAACCTAGTAGGGAGTTTAAAAATATCCTATTGTACCGTAAAGATGATAATCAAGGTTTTTCCCCCATCCCTTCCCCGCTTCATCAGTCATGAACTTCTGACTGATTTTCTCCCTTTATGAAGAACAAAAATAGCACAGATGGGTAAATATCAGAGTGGAGTTCTGACTGTGAGATGCAGTCCCTACCTCCCCCCCCCCCCAGCAGCCCATTTGATGCTTCCAAATCCTCATATGTTAGACAAGGATGAAAATTGGGGCTCTTTCTGCATTTTTTTTATGTTTAAGAAGCAATATGAGTGCCTTAGCTTTTGCAGAGAGTTAAAGCAGATTAAAGACCCCCATCCCCCAAATTTTCTTATGGAAAATGTTAATTTTGGTAACTATTTCCAGATCATACTTTATGTATGCTGCTGAGATTGCTGTGGTCTAAACACAAATGAATGAATTGAATGTTTTAAATGCAGACAATGGGGTTAAATGGTTTTTGTCTTGCCTTTTTGGGTGACATTGTCATGTGATAAGGCACACCTAGCAGGATCCTAAAACGTGGTTCTTAGGATGAAAATGATTGCCCTTCTGGTCTATGGAAACTATTTTAAGTCAGCCTTCCAGCCTTCCAGCCTTCCGAGGTTGATAAAGAGAGGACCCAGATTGTTGGGGGCAATATGCTGACACTGTAAACTGCTTAGAGAGGGCTATAAAGCACTGTAAAGTGGTATATAAATCTAAGTGCTATTGCTATTTTGATCGAGGAAGGGTACCTTTGTGCAACTTCCTTGTTAATTCTGTGTCTCTCAAACTCTCAGCTCCAGAAAGCTATTGAGGGGTCTACACGTACTGGGGTCCAACTTCGTCCTCCTCTTGCAAGTTTCCGTGATGCCACTCAGACGACAAGCAGCAAAGAGCATACCAGTTGGTCTACAAAGATGTGGAGCAAAGAAAACAATGATACAGTCCCTGGGAAATCTGCAGTAGACTCGGGACCAGAGAACTCAGTGGCCCCTAGTTCCCCTGTCTCACAGCAATCTTCCCTTCCCAGGTAAAGAAAAGGGATTATCTCTGCTTCAGATGCTGATAATAGAATTGGAGGGCATAGAAATTTCTGGCCCAGCTGCTGAGAACATCTCAGACACACTCAAGGACTTCAACTTATGCTCCAGAAACCTGGAATAGGATGATAAGGATGATAATGATATGACAATATAATTGCACCTTGGGGAAAAATTACCTCATCCTTCGGCATAATCTGCCCACCATACTTACATTTCCAGAAAAGGCTTGTGACCTGCTTTGCTGGTATCAGTGGAAGATAATTCATGCTGGAGAACTTGTGTGGCTGTGTGGACTGGCTTTCCTCTGCCATTTTCAGTGGGATGCAAGAAAGACATGCAAAGAAAATGGGTGGAAGGATCTTGGCTTATATCTTCTAGTTTTGCATCCTTTGATTATGATCCCTGTGTGGGGCACATGGTATGGCCCCATTGCCTATAGGGATATATTCCAGGTGTTCTTCAGATAAACCTACCACTTATATCATCATTCAGCATGCCATGGTGTTAGCCTGGTGGGGTAGTCCAGACAAAAAGTGTAACCAGGAGTTCTAACTCTTAACTTTATTGCAAGGTTGCATTAAGAGAATCTTGCCAGAGTGAAAATATTTCTCCCCTCCTTTGTTTTCCTTGCCAGAAAACTAGGGAGGGTCTCTTTTGCAATGTTTCCCATGCCCTCCCTCAATCTGTGGGCTATCTTTTACACTCAGGTTATCCAGTCTGTGACTTTTCCTCCTGTCTCCGAAGGTCATTCCCACATGCCATTATACATAGCCATCTTCATCCCTTTCAGGTGTTCTGAAGAACCCAGGCTCAGTCCTGATGTAGAGAACACATCCCAATTTGTAAACAAAACAGAATATGACAAATGCTTCATACCTCCTTTTACCTTTTTACAATGTCTTTTCTTTTAAAATAAACTCCAATCTATGCTCTACATGTGACAATAATTCACCCCTTCACAAATTGTTCTCATTTTGTCATTATAGGCTTAATACCTTATTATTTCTACTAATTTGCACATCCTTGTCCTAAAAAATAATTTCTCATATATTGAAATATTCCTCTGATACTTATTGCTGGGGTAAAAATACTAAAACAAGTCTAATTCTTTATTGAGGATATTACCACCAAGTATAGGTATAATGGCAACTTGCTATTGATAATAGCAACTGCTATTATCCAGATAGTTCCCCATCTTGCCTATGCAGACACATTTATAAACCTTCAACTCAGTGGTGGGTTCCAGATCCCGGTGCAACCGGTACGGTGCAACAGGGCCGCACGTCCACCACATGCAGCACATGCATACTTATCGCCCGCAATGCTCCATGATGGCTCCATGACGCTCCAGCTGCTCGGCAGAGCATTGCGCAGGCGCTGTACACTCTGTGCGTGTGCGCGAAAGCCCCAATCGTCTCAAATACAGATAAGGAGTGCAGGCAGGCCCTCTAGAGCACTGTACCAGAACAGTACCTGGTGCTCCCAACAGGCACCGGTACACCCGTACCGGGGCGTACTGGTCGTATCCCACCACTGCTTCAACTCTATCTGTAGTGATGCATTTGTCAGAACATTACTGTTTGATTGAACACTTTGAACAAATAGTCAAACCAGAAGGGAATGTCAGTGAAGTTTAAATGCTGATGAGCCAAGGATTCAAGTTAAGGCTGTTTAAATATCACTTACATCTTAAATGTCCTACTTATTACTTGAAAGAAATTTCTACAAATGCTGTCTTAAACATATTTGTACCTGATAAATAAAAACTGATGTGGGAAGATGTTGATGTTGTTGAGAAGCAGCATTAATAAATGAAAGAGGGGGGTGGCATTTCTAAGGATATATCTGCATTTCATAACTTTTATACAAACGTAACACAATTGACTCTTTCCAAAGGAATCCCTAAGAAGAATGTACTGAACATTCTGTAAGAAATAACAAGCACAACTAAACTTTATGATTGTTAGTTGAGTTCAACAATTCATTGGAAGTATATGGCACATAACCAAATAAGAAAAATCCTTGCTTTAACCTAACCTCTTGCACCTATAATCAATTCTTGTTGCAGTCATTGCACTCAGACGGAAACTTTTTGTGTTTCACTAGCACTGTACAGTACCAGTACTGTATCATCATCCACACTCAGTACAGATGTATTAATTATTTTTAAATCTGGTGTTTCTGAGCAAGATTTGGTCTAATAAATGGAGAAAAAATGTTTTGGGGGTTTTGTCTCAGGTATGAGGAGCCTAGCTTGGCAACATAGATAATCAGTGTCAAAGAAATTAAAATTTAGTCCTTGTAAATCCTCTTGCTTTTTTGGCTAGAGTTTCTCAGAGAAATAAGCACATTATTCCAAGCAGAATAGTACCAGTGTCAAGTTAAAATAAGCATCATATATTTAGGGAAGAGATTGGAAAGAGCATGTGTGTGTAACAGAAGTTGCTTAGATTTGGCAATGTCATGGTTTCCACACCAGTCAGCTATGGCAAATGGAAGTTTTCCATCATCAGATAGCCATCATTCACTGAATTTCAATCTTTCATGGAGTTGTTAGTGGACCTGATAAAGGAAACAAGGTATTAATATTATTAATGGTGGATTTTACCATTATTTCTGGGAAATGCCTTCCCCAGGTTTGTCAGAACCGCATTGGATAGGGTTTTTCTTGGAAATCGTGTCACTGTCTGAATGTTTTGAGGCAATTTGACAGCCATGTTCCCAAAGTGTCTAATCAAGACCGATTAAATGCAGATCAGCTTTATCTAATCACTGTTTAGTCATTCTTTCAACAAACACACAATTTGCTGGTGTATACATTTTAGTGCTGATTTCTATGAGTTTGTCATAGAAGGATACTGGCTATTTGGAATAGTACTTCAACAAAATCTAGAATTTGGGATACTTATCAAGCACTTAAGGCAAATCATTGTCAGTTTCTTTGAATCGTCCATATCTGAGTCAAAATGCATATAGGTCTGTAAATCATTGAATTTTGATTCTGACATTCATGTGACATGCCTGTGATATAAAATGAGAATGCAAACAGGGCTTGTTCTCAGCTAAGCAATAACCAGGACAACCTTTCAAAGGCACAGAAATTATTTCTTTTATTGTTGTTGTTGCCCCACAATTGCTTCTATGTCACAAGCTGCAACATCTGGGCATCTCTTACTCTACCTAAATAGTCCTCCAATTTATTTAGCCCATATTTTTACCGGAGTAATAAATCTTTTGTTTGGCTTATACTGCTTCAAATTGTAGCTAGAGGATAGATGCAATAGTCATCCATTAAAAAAAAACTGCCCAGAAAAACTAGATGCCATGGTATCCAGGATGTGAAAAAATTCATTAATATAAAAGTAAGGCCACATCCACAGCCTGTAGAAATTTTAAGAGTTTCTTCAGCCTACCATTGATTAGAGAGAATTAGAGGAAGCAAAAACAAACAAGCAACTCCATATAGTATCTGTTCACATTCTTCAGAATTATCAATGGTATTTTGCTTTGCCTAGGAATATTAATGTATTCCGATAATATCTTTATTTTGTTCCAAGATTGGGAGTACAATTTCTTTAGTAACAGTCATTACTAAATTGCATAATCTTCTGTCCAGAAAGACACTGTTTCCTCTTCTACTGGAGTAAACTTACCTTGGGGGTCCTTTCTGGGCTAGTAAGTAGATTTCAAATAAAACAGAAGGATGAAATATGCACTCTTTGATTCTATAGAGAATCTTAGAAAATGTTATTCTGGATGCTGTTGCTTTGTAGTGCATCAGTTTCCTGCAGATACATGCATACAAACATTTCTGGAAAAGAAAAGTCACATGGACGGGACTATAATAACACAAAGAGGAGTGCACAGATACAGTACTGGTTTTTAAACCAAAAATATGAAGAGATGCCGTAATGTAAATTATATTTCTGCCAGTGGCATTTCTGAAACTTCTCACCATTACATCAGCATGATTTTGCAGTCATAATCTGCAGTCTAGATTATGGGTTTTTTGAGTACTTGTGTTTCATCTACATTTACAGGTAGTCCTCATGTGTTAAGTGGTCACAAGGTTGGAAATCACATGACCACAACTGTGCTTTCCTTTCCCTAATCCCCTGACCTCTGAATGTTCATCCCAATGCTGGGATAATTAGTAAGAAAATAATTAATGTTTATATTTACATTAATTGGAGAAGAAGGGATTGCAAGAGTAAGCAGGCAAACAATGGAGAATCCACATCAAAAACAATGAACTGGAATCAGCAACCATGAATGTGCTATGCAAACTGTCTGGTGTATTCCCCATTGTGAGTCTGCTTAAGTAATCTCTTTCTCTCCAATCATTTTCCTCTGTACTTAGGTATCAGAGAGATTGCCTACTGCTTGTTTTCCCTTCATCCTCTTCCTTTCTATGGAATAGACATGCTCCATATTTCATTTGTATTAGGTAGAATCTGAGGAAAATGGGGTGGAGGAGAGAAATGGTTTTTACTTCTTACATTGACACCAATATATTTAAAATTAAATGACAAACATTAAGACTTAACCATGTTTTAACAAAACATACTCACTTGGCTAAGGACACTCATTCAACTCTTTGTAATTAATACAGACTGAAAGGATTGAAACAGATCTCTCTATAAATACTGCTACAAATGGCAGCTATATTTCTATTTCCTTCTGACTCCCTCCATTAAAAAGCAGTAAAATTTATCACAGATTATGGTGGATTTCACTAAGCCAGTGCACATCAGATGCACTGAATTATAGATCTGTTATCTTGGTCAGAATGGTTCATGTGCTGTGCTAATGAAGACTTGAAGTAAGCCCTATAGTCAAGATCCAGGTTTTTCAAACTGTGTTCCATGGAATCCTTGAAAATATGATGGAATTCTATAAGAAACTTGGGATAAAAAAAGAAGCCACCGTAATGCATCCAATTTTTCCATCACTGGAGTTTTGTCTTTTGATCAGGTGCTCCAGCCAAATTTCTTGCTTCAGAAAAAAATTACAACCACCTGCTATAGACTTTATGGAGGAGGAGAAGGACATGATTCACAGCTGCAATTTTCAGTAACAACTCTACATGCACAGCAACATTTGCATATTCTTCAATTGAAATGTTTGCCAGATACTAACTGTGAGGGCTACTTTTGAATGGCAAAGAATGTATGCTTTAGCTGTTCATACCATGATACTTAGCAGACAGGAATCTATCTGATTTGGAGGAACTTCCCAACAGAAATAAAACACACTTCCACCAACCACAATGGCAAAACCACGTGCTGTTTAATAACATTAACTTGATGAGGTTCTTACATGCCCTTGCAGGCAACGCTCTCTTTTCCTCAATGGCTATTAACCATAACCAGGCATGAAACGCCATATAATTTTTATACCTATAGATATAGTTACACACAGGCACACAGACACACATGTGTATGCGTGCACAAAAGATATATGTATATATATATATATATATATATATTGAGAGAATATATATTCTCATAAGTCACATTATCAAAAACATGCACAGAATAACCAACAAAAAAAAAGGTTTAAGCAAAGATGTTTTGGAGTTGGAAGACCAAAGGCAAATCTGGTTTTTTTCTGCTCGAGTGTCCCAGAACTGAAGGAGGTGAGAGGGTTATTTTGTAAACCCACTTCTACTTTTCCTCCCATTTCTTTCCTGGAAAGTCACTGTCCTCAATTAATCCCATATTTTAAAGATGGGAAGAAAACTATCATTCCCATCTTCATAAATTCAGAATTGTGAAAAGTCTTAAGACTGGTCTCTTTATAAACTTCCCTGCAAGACAACCTTAATAAGTTTAATAAAAAATAACACGCCCCAAACCTTTGGTTTCTTTAAACATGCTTCAATTACACTAGCCACTATTCCTCTTTTTTATATAGTTCCTGTATTTATTGTCCTGTATTCTGCTCTTAAGCTTATCCACCACTAGCTTGGAGGATGGGTCCAGCACCAAATGAACTGGAGAAATATTTTAAAAAATATGGTACTATATTCAAAACTGATTTTTTTATCTTTCAGACAACATTTTGCAGTTCCTAGAAATAACAGTAAATTAATATCCAAACTTATAATTGCCCATACAAAGTTTGGAACAAAATTCAGACATCTATGACGATGACATTTAAGGAAATATGTAACAAAAGTGCCATACTGAAGTACGTATAATATTGTTATTTCTAAAGAAATATACTACAGGTATGCCTGGACTAAAAATAGATGGAAAAACTGAATGAAAATAAACTATGAATTTATTTAAAATACTTTTTCTGCTTGCTTCACTATTAAGACTCTCAATTTGAATATGAAAGTTTCAGATTATAAATTGGTTTCCCACAATTATAATACTCCTCCACTCAGAAAATTATTTGTGCACAGAAAGTAAGCATTACATGGAAACCTGGCTTAGAATATTTTACCCCTGATCACCTGCGTCAGCAACTGCTGTGAATTATCTTTGCATAGAGAAGCATTGGAATCCAGGCTTCCCTCACCCCTGGCAATCAAAAATGGTACCATCTAGATACAGCTTTACTGTGCAGTGAAATCCAGGCCAGGGACCTGAATACCCTTGACAGCATCACTCCAAAACAAAATGGGGATGATTTAAAATGAAAAAGTAGCAACAAGCAGAGCAAATGCAGCTTTTCCACCACTGCTTCAATTATCTCATCTCCCAATTATCTTGATTCTTGAGAAGCTCAGTGACCGGAAGAAAAAGTTCAGCAGAAGCTGCTGAAGATATTTTGCTGCCCAAGGTGAGGCATCAGAATAAAACCTCTGTAAATATGGCAAATATTTGTGTAAGTTTGTTCCAGAGTTAATCCCTTCATTTTCCCCCTTCTTCTTATAAGCAGCCGGTAAATACAGAGAGATAATGACTTATCACAAGGGGCTACAATGAAGTAAGCAAAATCTCTGGCATCAGGGCTAATTTAGTGACTTTTAAAAACAACATGAGTCTATCTGCAGCTAAATTATCTGCACCTATGTGCCATCTTCAATATTTGCTAGATGGCTACATTTTTAAGTGAAATATGATTAAGAGATTGACTTCAATCTCCTTGAAAGTACCAAAAGTAATAAGCCACTAGCCACCTTCTCAATTATTTTTACATAATAATGCAATGCATAACATAAATGCATGGATCACAGTAGTTCTTTGTGGAGTCCCAATTTTATTCCTGCCATTGTCTGGACTGACCTAAACCCAGCGTGGTGTAATGGTTAAAGTGCTAGAGGATCAGATTCCAGCCTGGCTTTTGTCATAGAAGCTCATGGGGTGACTTGGTCTGGTCACTTTCTCTCAGTCCAACCTATCTCACAGAGTTTGGTTAGGGATCAACTGCTATCTCCATTACTATTAGCTCCTGAAGGAAAGAAAGGGAGGCTATATGTTGCATGTATGAATAAGTAAACAAATCTTAGAAAGGAGAAATGCAAATAAGAGTAAGAAACAATTCATCAGCAACAGAACAACAAAGTAGTTCAAAACCGGCAGACTTTAGGCATGTGAGTCCATGGTATGTGTCAAAAAAGTCAATATGGCAATAATGACCATGTGATTGAAGCCCAGCCACTTGTATATCGCACACATGTACAAAGGGACAGAACTTCAATATCGTGGTCATGATCGCCATCTTGAGTTTTTTTGACCACCATCATTTCCCGGATGCCACTGCTTTAGGCCTGCCTAAAGGATAAAACGTACTGCTTCTTACACTCCTCTGCACTTCAAGGCTATATGCAGGAATGTAAGGGGTAAAGATACTAAAAAAATATATACTTATTTGTGATTTTAACATAACCAAGCTGAGACTTTGAACATGTTCTCACACTGAGCCAACTCATTTCCTAATTTATTGGTCTGACATGAAAATTACATTCTCATGGGCCAAGGGCCAAGAACAATGATGGCCACTGGACCATACAATGCTTTCTGCCCCACCCTGCCTGAGGGCAGTAAAGGTCACTGTGGAATGGAGTTGACATTTTCAGAGCCCTTTGGGAGGGTGCTGAAGAGGATGAGATGTCTCCTTTGCCCCTTAAATTTTATTTTTTTTAAAGACGCTAGCCTGATTTGGGTGGCAGGAAATTAAGGGGGCTTCAAAGGAGTGATAATTTTGCTTTTCAACTCCTCTAAAACATACAAAAATATTGCTCTTCGTGAATGCCTTTCTCTATGTCCTGGAGTGGCATAGGGCAAGGCCCTCTCTCACACCTAATATAGAAGCTTTTATAAGTAAGCCTATCTTAACAAACACCAATTCTACAGGTCTTATTGCCAAAAACTTATTCTTAAAAAGAGGTGAATAAGTTGGCTGGGGGGTGATGCAAACTGAAATCCAATACAGTTGAAAGACACCTTACTAGGGCACAGGAAGGCTGTCCCCAGAACCTGTCCCTTGGCTCTAATCTTGTTCTTTCCCTCTGCTTTGCTGTTTTCCGCTTCACTCTTTATGTATTAAATTTATATAGCCACCCACTCCTATGACATTTAAATGTGTCGGCGTTAATATATGTAACTATTAACCATGTAACCCACTGTAATAATGTCTTGATATTAATATTTAATCAAGACACAATTTATATCTGGTTGCAGTTCTTGCAAAAGTCCTATTTTCATAAACACCCTGGTGATTTTCATATATACTTAGATGTTTCATTCAAGGAGAAAAAAGCAGGAAGGAGCAGAGTTAGTTATCCACATTAGCTCAGGTGAGAAATTGAAAAACATGAATGATGCATGTAAGACCCTTAGGCACTGACTAGGCATGATATAGGAGGCACATAAAGTATCTGATTAACGTTCATTTTTTAAAATGCAGCTGCAAAGCTTTGGATTTTACTTTAAAAAAGGGAGAATGGTTTATTCTTTTCTCAGGGGCTGCTGATTTGCTCAAAAGTAGCTCCTACAGCTATTTCTTCCCTCATAAATGTTGTTGTTTTCCATTATTAGTGGAATAATTCTTTATAAATTATTTAAGTGGCCTTCCCAGTTAAGAAAAGTCCATCTAACAATTACTGAACTAAATTAAGGGGGGGGGGGAATGGAGGATTTAATTGGTCCTCAAGGTTCAAGGACATTTTGTTTTCTTTCATTCCTAGTTAATTCTCTTCCATCTTGAGCTAGCAAATAGAGCCTGTCACTATGCTCCCAATGTTGTGATGTCATCCACCATGATGCCATCTGTTAGTTCTTCTAGCAGTTAAGAAATGAGTAAGGAGAAGGATTTAAGGCTCACAGGCAAGGACAAGCAGGGGACAGACATTTATGGAATGTTTCCTCCAGGACTCTTTGGCAATCCCTTGATTACCCGTTCAAAGTAAAACTGCTCAAATACCTTGGAATAAAGCTATCTTGCATTCATGCCACAATGTAAACACTGCAATATTGCACCAGAGAAAATTATTTAGTGAGTAGTACAAAATACACTATTTGCTAACTATGATTCTATTGCTGCTATGATTCATGCAAAGGATCAGGAAGTGGCAGCAGAGGCTTAAAAATGACTTCATGGGATTCCCCCCCCACAAAAAAAATGTCAAGGAAATCCAATGCCAGTTTTTACTTCATTAAAAAAAGATTAGACATTCCTAATGGTTTCATGAATAATCCTTTATAAGAAGGGTGTCATTATTCACATATATTAGCCAAGAATGGGGAACCTAAAGTCTCTATATGTGATCTAAGTGTAACTCCAAGAAGTCTTGGGTGGTAGGGCCAGTGGTGAGGACACAACATTTCAAGTTTACAACTTCTGCAGAGGAGTGCATTCCTCGACCTTGGCATAATCTCCAGGCATCGGACAACAGTATCTTATACATGAGCACAAACCTACACATCCCTTCTAATATTCTTCAGTCAGGAATTCACTGCCTATCAGTTCAGAGACATTCAAAATATAAAGCTACACACAGTGTATCTGAATTGCATGGTTTCATTTTGCTTCCAATTTTTTAAGAAGAAACCAAGCGATTAAAAAGAAAGGCATGCACATTACAAATGTGATGCATGTAACAAATGTGAAATTTCTGATCATGAACATGTTAACATGAAATAATAATAAATGCAGCCCTCATAGACTAAAACAGTGGTCTCCAACCTTGGCAACTGGCTGAGGAACTCTGGGAGTTGAAGTCCACAGGTCTTAAAGTTGCCAAGGTTGGAGACCACTGGACTAAAAGGTTCCCCCCCCCTTAGCATTCTGTGGCAAGGAGCTGGCGCTGCAGTCTTCAGACACAGGTTGCTGATAAATAACAATAAGGCAGCAGAGTTGGAGAACTGAGAGAGCAGATGAGGCATGGGGCTGTAACCTTCCCTCAACTGACCTTTTTTCTTAACGATCTTTCCTAGGGTTTTTTTTCTCAGTCAGGCTCCAAGCCCAGAAATAAACCCACCTATAAAGTGGTAAAAAGGGTGTGCAGTATGCTGTGCTATCTGCCTGTTTTCTTCTACAAAAAATAAATAAATAAAAATAAATCATCCCCAACTTTCCTGATCAAGGTTTTCTAACCACAATATATTCAGAGATGCAGAACTGCCTTGGCACAGGCAGTCCCATCTTTTGATAATAGTATTTGTTCTTCAGTTAGCTGGTACTAATGTGTTTATATCAGGAATCACTTTGAGCTGTTTCCATTCAGGTCAGTGAACCTGACCTGACTCTGTTTAGCAGCTGAGATCTCAACATTTGTTGTTACTTTTGAAGGTGTCACACAGATCTGTTTTATTATATGAATAGAGCAATACAGCCATTCTGATTATTTTGTCCAATCAAATGAAAGCTGTAATCTTTTAGGATTTGGAATGCGACACAACAGATAACTGAAGGATTATTTTCTCGTCTGGGGCCAAGTGAAACTGAGTAACTTTTTCTCTCTGCTGATGTACCTGGTTAAAAGCAGAGCCATCAGTACATTTAAACATAGGGAACAACAGGAAAGATATTTTAAAAGGCAAGATACCTTGGCAGGGGATGGAGAGAGAGGAAGGTAAATGGAGTTTCATATCCCGAACAATTCTATTTATTGATAAACCCTCCCCAAGAACTGTACAATTTAAAAGAAAATATGGTTATCTTTGTTTGGTAGAACTTTCCAATGATAGTTATAGAAATCTGCAATACAGTTGTGATTCTCTATTCCCCCATACACATTGTTCAGTCACATCCCCAGTTCTACAAACACAAAATTAGCTTTCCCTTGTTGTTTCTTGATTTTCATGCCATATGACCCTCTGGCATCTCTCAGACTGAGAAAAATATACACCTCTCAAACATTTGTGATATGTGGCATTATCAAATGCATGTTGCTTACATTTTCCTTTAAAAAAGACAGACAATAAAATAAGGTATCTAAACAAGATGAGCCACTTATTATCGAGTTCAGTGAGCGCCAAGATGAAAGCAGGATACATTTACACAGAAACAAATTACCGTAAACATCCAGGTTTAGTCCTGGTCCTGGATAGGCACATGGAGCATAATGGTTTGGAGGAAAGGAGAATCAGGCTGCCTGAATCTCCACCCTCCCCCATCACAATACTGGAAACATCTCAAAGCTTTCTGGTTATCCTGAAGGCTCGATGATGTTGGAGTAACAAGAGTTTCATTCATTCTTCATTTGCAGAGATGCACACTCTGCACTCTTCATGGTTCTGCATCATTGCTGGGAGAATTCCCTACAACTGACTGAAAGCCAGAATGCAGCAATTTAAGAAAAAAAAAAGCAAGAACATGAGGTGTTGTCCTCATATCCAGCGAAGTTCTGTATCCAACCCTCTTAGCCTTCAGAGGTTGGCACTGTAGCATGTAAACATATTTTAAAAGAGAAGTGGGCTCCCAAAGGCTCAGAGGTTGAGCAGCCTCCCCAACCCAAGGAGCCAGGAAGAGTAAGGAAACAGAGACAAGGAAAAGAATGGTGACAAAAGGCTTTTCTTTCATGCATTTTGCTTTGATTATTTTTGCCTGACCATGTCTGTATGATGAAAATGTTCTCAAAGAAGGTGCAGTAAAGGGGAAGACAGAGTTTCTTGGTTGTTGAAATGCATGGAGTTCCTCTCAATACTTCATGAAAAGGGTGGGGGCACTTCAGCTGTCTTTTGCTGATGATATCTGAATGCAAAGCTTCTGACCCCAAAGTTTTTCCCCTTTCTCTACACAAAGGGGTAAGATCTGAGTAAATAAAGCATTGCTGTGCAATTTACTCATCAATTTTCTAGCCAGCAGACCCAGAGAAAACAAATTAATTGCAAGCCACATTGAAATTTCAGGTAAATAGAATGGTGTAGGAATGGAGGAGGAAAAGAGCAGAGAAAATGCCATTAGCTGTGAGTGTTTTCTCACAGTGTAGGGTCACCTTTTATGGCAGCGTCCTTATTTTTCCTCTTTTAATGATGACCATAAACTTATTTTTATTAATTCTGGTCATTTTTTATATTATTATTTTCTTCTACTGTTTGTGTCTGACAAACAATGGTGAAAGAACACAGTATTAAAAAACTAGGTTTTATAATGCTTATTTCCATTTATCTGCCAAAACAAACCAATAACTGAGAAAAAGGGATAACTTGAGATCAAACTCTCTGGGCCACAAAATATAGCAATCATTCGCCTCCCCCCCCCCACCTCAAAAAAACCCTTCTTCAAATAAAAATTGAGAAAAATGTGCCACTTACTTTTTTCTTATTCTTGACTGAGCAAGGCATTACAAATCCAGTATTTCTCATTATAACCAAAGCAGGAAATTGAATGGGAACAGTAGAGAATTACTCTTGGCCCAATCTCAATTTTGCAATATTTTCAGAAGAACTTGCAAGTCTAGAAAAGGAGTATTACCTTACACTAGATGGCACCAGGCCATTCCCACTGATGGCCAAAAAACTGTTGCAACATAAAAAATTGGGAGAAAAATAGAGGAAAACTAAGTACATAGTTAAGTGTGGTATGTGTTTGTTTTTGTTTCTTTGTCTTGTCTTCCCTGTATACAATGGAAAGACTGAACTCCATGTCTGCATAAATTATAAGATTGACAGATGACCCTTTTCCCTACATGCAGTGCCCAATAATAAATAGAAGGGGAAAAACCCTCTCCAGCCCCTATATAGGCAAAGTTAACAGAGGGTGGGTGCATAAGAGGCTTTCAGCGGCAAATGCATGCACACGTGCTGAAGAATGAGGTTTGAATTGGACTCAGAGTACCTCAGTTTTATCACAGAATAGTCACTACCCCTAAAGTCCCACAGTCTGGATCCATGCCCTCCACTTCATGGTCCTCTAGGCCTCAAGTGAAAGCTTCTCTCCAAAGAGCACCTCACTTCCATAAGTAGAATTCTTGATGAGGCCTGACTTTTTTGTTGCAAAGTTATCTCCCTCTCTCCCTGTCATTGATCCACCAGGTTCCAAGAGCCAGAGCAGAGCAGCCTTTGCTCAGAGGCTGTGCTAAGTGAATCAGCCTCACAAAACCACTCTTGATACCAGCATAACTTGTGCCCACTGTTTGCAATGTCCACATGAGGCCACTATCTTGCATTCCCTGAGCTTTCTGGGCAGTAAGTCTTAAAATTTCAGCCTAACGTGTGCAGGAGGAGGTGGGGGAGTTAGCAATGCCCAGCACTTTGGTCCTTGGCTTTACCTTTCCATAAATCTAAGGATAAACAAGTGTGCTATGGGGAACTGGGGAATTGAGATAGGGGGAATTGAGGAGCTGGAGAGGGGCTTCCCTGACACTTTCCCCCACCCGTGTTTCCCATGCATATTGTCAAAGGTTTCAACATCCAGGATCAGTTATTGGTTTCACCTTCTTCCTCATCAAAGGACTGAACTCCAGACGATGTGACATCAGAAACCTTGCGGCTAAGGGCAGTAGGCTCTGCCTCCTCTCTGGGTGAAAGAGACTCCAGATCCCGGCATACAACATCGTCCTCTTCTGGAGAAGGTTTCTTGTTCAATAGGGGAGCTTTCTCCAGCACGGGGTTCTCTTCCTCTTCTGCGTGAACTCCCACAAGAGTGCTGGATTCAGCATTCCCCCCATTACCAATGCTATCATCACCATTAGGAGTTGTCTGAGCTGGCCATACATCTACAAGGTCAGTATTTTGGAACACAGCTTGTTGCACTTGCTGGTGTTGTTGTTGCTGCTGCTGCTGTAACTGTAATTGTTGCTGCTGCTGCTGCTGTTGCATTTGCAACAGCTGGTGCTGCTGGATAAGGTTGTTCTGGATTAAAACACTTTCCTGTAGGTTAGACTGACATTCCTCAAAGTTCTGGCCGAGGTAAGAGCCAGCAGCTGGGGACGCAATGAGGGACTGATTGCTGGTTTCCCAAGCATCAGATGAACCCAGGCAGTACATGCCTTGCGAGACGTAAGAGTGAGGCCAGCTGTCATACTGCACCTGGGCCAGGTGTTCTGCACAGGAGGTAGGAAGAGAAGAATAAAAATGAGAGAAAGAGAGGTGAAACACAGAATTGAAGAAGACATAGGAAAGGCATAAGCAAGAAGATTTTTTGGGACGAAGGGAAGTTTGCTCAGCAGTTGCCTGAGGAGGTTGTGAGAGGACACAATCTAATGGTTACTTACACAGCTGTTAGACTCTCAGAATCACACAGCTGTGAAGATGCATTCATGATTTATATCCAGATACTTTGATTGATCCAATGTACAGATCAAGTGAATATGGACTGAGAATACATATTCATGTTAGGTGTCTATGAGATATAGATGCTTGGATTGAACCATCTTTTGTGCTCCAGGGAGCTGCTGTGAGGGATTTTAGAATGCCTTGAGACATTTTTTTTTCAGTGATCTGAAACAAGACCATAAAAAATCCAAGAGAAGAAAGAGATCTGACTACCAGAGAGAAGGCAGTGAAAGATGTCAAACTTCTAGCAAATACATTACACATACAATCATGGTGGTGCAGTGGTTAAAGTGCAGTACTGCAAGCTGCTTCTGCTGCCTGCTGGCTGCCTGCAATTAGGCAGTTCAAATTTCACCAGGCTCAAGCTTCACTCAGCCTTCCATCCTTCTGAGATGGGTAAAATGAGGACCCAGATTGTTGGGGGCAACATGCTGACTCTGTAAACTGTTTACAGAGGGCTGTAAAGCACTGTAAAGTGGTATGTAAGTCTTAAGTGCTATTGCTATAATTTTATAGCAGCTCTGAGGCTACAAAATGAAAGACTAAGATTGAAATTGCATTCTAGCTCTGCCCTAATCTAGGAGTGCAAAAGTTACAAGTCATATACCATACTACATGGAGCTCATTTATGGCCCCAGAGGAGGTGGCGTTACTTTCTTTCTTTCTTTCTTTCTTTCTTTCTTTCTTTCTTTCTTTCTTTCTTTCTTTCTTTCTTTCTTTCTTTCTTTCTTTCTTTCTTTTTAACTCTTTTCCATTTTTGAGGCAGTGATTTAATGGCCAATTATATCCATTAAAAACAAAACAATAAAAATAGAAATATCCCAAAAACTCAAGCCAGTTTTCTTTCTTTTTTAATTTTTTGCTGCAAAACTGGTACTTACTTTGTCAGTTATGTTTCCCACAAGCTGCTGCCCAAGAATAAGTAAATCAGCTTTTGCTCTACTACTATATTTCAATAACTTCTCTTTCATTTGCTATTCTGTGTATTTAGATTCTTGGTATCATTTCACCCTCTGCTGATAAAGGAGCCATTGTACTACAGTAGTGGCCAAAATTGTGGAAACCTTTTGGGAAAAGTGTATTTTTGAGGTTTGATAGCTAATAATACCACTTTTTTTGGAGTAGTACCATAAAAGTATATATCAATGGAAAGATAATTTAATCAAGAATGTAATGCAACAAAGTTATTCAATTATCTGTATTTTATGAAATGTTATAGCCAAATAATCAGAAAAAGGAACATCTGGGTGTATACAAGATGAAATGGTGCAATGCAATAATTTTTGCATATCTCATTTTTTTCTACATATTTCACTTTTCTTCGTTGTAACTGCTATTCTAATAGCAAATCCTTCATAAAGGCTATTGCATTACATTCTTGATTAAATTATCTTTCCATTGATATATAATTTAATGGTGCTACTCCAAAGAAAATGGTATTATTAGCTATCAAATCTCAAAAATACTTGATTAGGTTAATATCAGGTAGCTTTCCTTCATCTGATTGTAGCCAATGAGCATGAGTGTCTAGAGAGCCAATCAGGTGTCCTCTTGTTTTGGCAATGAGACAATCAGATCACAGTAAGATTCAGTTATTGATGCCACGTATTGAAGCTGAGAGGAGGACATTTGTCAGTGTGTTATGTGATCACTATCAAGTTGGTTGTTTTTTTTTGTGTTCTTTCATTTAGTGAGCTTGTAAAACGTGATAAAATTAAAGTAATGGTGCAAAGATCTGACTGGTTGCCCAGAAAGTGATGTAAAATAGTATTATTAAGTGAACAAGTTATAAAGTTATATACTTTATAACAGTTATAAAGAAATTAGAAGAAAAATTGGTGGAAACTTAACCAAAGGTACATTTCTAAGTTTTTGAAGTATAAGGATTTTGCAATTATTCATTACAAAACCACACTGGTAAAAGCAGGAAGAGGTGCACAACAGCAAGTGATGATAGAAGAATTAAGAGACTGGGCCTATGTGACAGAAGAAAATCATCTGGGTGTATACAAGATGAAATGGGGCAATGCAATAATTTTTGCATATCTCATTTTTTCTACGTGTTTCACTTTTCTTCTTCATAAAAGCTATTGCATTACATTCTTGATTAAATTATCTTTCCATTGATATATAATTTAATGGTGCTACTCCAAAGAAAGTGGTGTTATTAGCCATCAAACCTCAACAATACTGTACACTTTTCCCAAAAAGTTTCCACAATTTTGGCTACTACTGTAGATTTAATAATTTCCCAGCTTGCTATTGAGAGGGATTTTAAACCAGTCTGGAGGACATCCACCAAGTTGCATCAGTCCCTATTTGTATTCTGAAGCAACACGGTCTAGACACAAGTTTGACCTAAATTCTACAAAGCTTGAGGCACAAAGAGACCTACCAGGTGGTGTTGGGGGACAAATAATGAAAGTAGAGGAAATAATATAATACAGAATACAAGCTGTGTCTTAAAGGGTTCAGTAATCTAGATAATATTAACTGAATACTGATTACAATAGCCTTCTAACAGTGGCCATTATTAGGGGATTTAAGGCTGATAGCAGCTTTCTTAACATTATTTAATGTGTTCAGTGCTGATAAAACATTTAAAACTACGATTTTCCTGCTTAGAGCTTAGCCAATGTATTGCATCAATAAATAGAAAGTTCATAACAGATAACTAGGGCTGGTATGCTTCTCCCCATTAGTATAGCCTTAGCCTTCTCTAATTGTCTCATGAGAAAAAGATTACCTGTCTCCCTATAGCTTTATGTCCATCTCCTGGAAGCCTAAGAGGAAAACAAATATTCACCTTGATTCTCCATCATCTCTTGATAGTTTTCATTGTAGTTGCCAGTTTGGTTTTCCTGATTTGAGTTGACACTTACATCCTCACCATCCATGGAAGACCAGGCCATCAGTGTGGCTTCTGAGATAGCAAACTGTTGCATCACTCCTAAAATATCAAAAGACAGAAAAGAGTAAATGTCAGTTATGCAAATTCATTCCTTTCTCTCACTTATTAATAATCACATCATCTATCACTTCACTCTGTTTCTTTTCACTGTTTTACTGAACAATATCCTGTTTCAAAACTTTGAACCTGGATTCTGAAATTTTATATTTTGAATGGACAATCTTGTATCAGAATGGCTGTCTCATGCATATAGGTACATAGTCAGTGGCACAGGAATAAATCCCACCCTCAAAACATTCAGCAATGTTTGGAAGTTGCTAAAATATGGAATAGGAATACAGAATTGTATAGTAAAATTATACATGATATCAGAGCCAGAAATATGATCTATAATATTTAAGGAGGGAAAAGGAATAATTCAGCATAGAGACATTGAAATCTTTATTTGTTTTATTTGAGCCTGGGGAATAAGATGGTGAAAAGATATTATCTATATCGAGAGATTTGAATGGGTCCAATCCACTCCAGAGTAAGCATATATCCTCTAAGATAACTCTTAGATTATTTTCACACTTCTTCAAATGTAAGAGGAACAGATCAGAAAATTTTATGTCCAAACATCTGAATATCCTCAGTCCATTTATGCAATCCAAAGAAAAGCTATATTCCAAATAAATAGATTTGGAATTTTGATTCTAATGAAATAACAACATTTGCCTAATCCAGTTTTGGGAAAGACTCAACAGGTAGACAACAATGTCAAATCCAAACTAAACATCTGATTAACTGTGCAAGCAACCATAATAATAGAGGAACAGTCATTGTGATTCCACAAATCTAGAAAAACTATTCTGTATCCCCCCCTTCCTCGTCTTCTTCCTCCTTTTCTACTTAGAGCCATTTGCATACAGAGAGGTGGTAGCATACCTGCAAGGAATCGGGCCTCTTTTTCTCCCTCACTCAGGTCAGAGTAAGCATCTGCATCCTTGCGTACCGTCTCATGAGTATGGTGCTGCTGGGTGGAGCCTGTGCCCCAACCCTGCCACTCAATCATATGTGCAACACGACCCTGCCCCATGGCAGTGGGCTTGGTGACGTGATCCTTCATGCTGCGGGATATCCCTAAGGCGCCAGACATTAATAAAACAAAGAGGGGCTATTATACAGCACGAGACCAATCTGTCATGACAACCTAGGACAAGTCTACTTTATTCTCTCTTCCTGTCCCAACATAATTACTCTACTACTACAGGAGACTCCCCGTAAAGGTAAAAAAAAAAATGCTCCAAGGAGCTCCAGAATTGCTTTACCATCTTTTTATCTGTACAATACAATTATTCATCATTGCAGAGGAGAATCTGAGCTCGACAGCAAGAGGATAATTGGGGCCACAATATAACAACATGTGTAATGAATTTTAAACATCTAACAAAATATGATAATAAATGTGCATAAGCAATATGCTTTCTCCCCCCCCCCCCAAAAAAAAAATGTTATGTGGAGCAAAAACAGGACTGCACTGCTGAGGAATTAACTCTCATCTATTCTCACCCAACCCTCATGCATTTTATAAATTTTCTCTATGCCCACAGAGAGAAATTTCCATTGGCACTTATGTAGTTTTTCTCCTGATGCACACAAGAGCAGATCTCGGTGGGTATTTGGCTGCAGCTCAGCAGGAGGGAGAAAGAGATGAACTTATATGTATCTAGACTGAGCCTAAACCACTTGAAAAATGGGTCATTGACATTGTCTAATGGCCTAATGGCCGTTAGAGAATTTAATGAGACAAACAACAAAAAGGATCTATGTATTACATAAATAAATTAACACTCTTTCAAAAGACAGAATGTTGATTTTAGCTGTCTATTCCCTAATCTTTGCTCTTTATGGGACAGGAAATAATTTCTCTACTTATAAATCAAAAAGTTTATAGAAATTATAGTAGGCAACAACATGAAATTATACAATTTAATGTTCATTCATCAAAAGTTAAATATATTAATTGTAATGTATTGATTGTTAATAAAAGCAGGGCTGTCTATTTTCAGAATAGTTTTAACCATGAAAGATTAATGTTAATTAATTCTAGCACTTGCTTCTTTTCCTAGTTATGACTAAAATTTTCAAAAGCTTTAAACACATTTATAGAACTTCTTTAAGTCTGTGAATCTTTGGTATAATTCTTTCTTTTTTCTCTACTATGAGGAAAAGTGAATAGAAAATTCTGTTATTTAAAATGATTTTAAGGACAAAATCCTTCCCAAGGCTGCTTACATAATGTAATCACATGGAATAAATACATAAATAATAAAATAGTAAACACTGATAAAGAGCAAAAATCACAGCATCATAACAATACTAAGACCAGCCAATACTAAAATCAAACTACAACTGCATCTAATCCCAGAACTATTCCCACATCGCTCCCATGAGCAGCAGAAAAGAATAAATATGCATTCAGGGCTTTCTAACACTGATAAGGCTTGATAGCTTCTAGATGCCAACCATTTCAGGAACATAGAGTACTGTAGAAAAACCCTGTTGTTTTGTATTGGTCATCTTGCCACCCTCAAAGAAAGCAAGAGAAATTACTGGACTTTAAAGGTGAACAGGTTGATACTGGTGAGGGTGATATCCTCGAAAAAAATTCATTGAAAAATTAGAATATCCTGCAAAAGTTCATTTATTTCAGTAATGCAACTTAAAAGGTGAAACTAATATATGAGATAGACTCATTACATGCAAAACAAGATAGTTCAAGCCGTGATTTGTCATAATTGTGATGATTATGGCTTACAGCTCCTGAAACCCCAAATCCACAATCTCAGAAAATTAGAATATTGTGAAAAAGTGCAATATTCTAGGCTCAAAGTGTCCCACTCTAATCAGCTAATTAAGCCATAACACCTGCAAAGGGTTCCTGGGCCTTTAAATGGTCTCTCAGTCTGGTTCAGTAGGAATCACAATCATGGGAAAGACTGCTGACCTGACAGTTATGCAGAAAACCATCATTGACACCCTCCATAAGGAGGGAAAGCCTCAAAAGGTAATTGCAAAAGAAGTTGGATGTTCCCAAAGTGCTGTATCAAAGCACATTAATAGAAAGTTATGTGGAAGGGAAAAGGGTGGAAGAAAAGGGTGCACAAGCAGCAGGGATGACCGCAGCCTGGAGAGGATTGTCAGGAAAAGGCCATTCAAAGTGTTGGGGACTTTCACAAGGAGTGGACTGAGGCTGGAGTCAGTGCATTAAGAGCCACTACACACAGATGGATCCTAGACATGGGTTTCAAATGTCGTATTCCTCTTGTCAAGCCGTTCCTGAACAACAAACAACATCAGAAGCGTCTTACCTGGGCTAAAGAAAAACAGATCTGGTCTGTTGCTCAGTGATCCAAAGTCCTCTTTTCTGATGAGAGCAGCTTTTGCATCTCATTTGGAAACCAAGGACCCAGAGTATGGAGGAAGAATGGAGAGGCACACACTGCAAGATGCTTGAAGTTCCGTGTGAAGTTTCCACAGTCTGTGTTGATTTGGGGAGCCATGTCATCTGCTGGTGTTGGTCCACTGTGCTTCATTAAGTCCAGGGTCAATGCAGCCGTCTACCAGGAGATTTTGGAGCACTTCGTGCTTCCTTCTGTAGACGAGCTTTATGGGGATGCTGACTTCATTTTCCAGCAGGACCTGGCACCTGCCCACACTGCCAAAAGCACCAAAACCTGGTTCAATGACCGTGGGATTACTGTGCTTGACTGGCCAGCAAACTCGCCTGACCTGAGCCCCATAGAGAATCTATGGGGCATTGCCAAGAGAAAGATGAGAAACATGAGACCGAACAATGCAGAAAAGCTGAAGGCCGCTATTGAAGAGCCGAGGTGGCGCAGTGGTTAAATGCAGCACTGCAGGCTACTGCTAGATCAGCAGTTCAGCGGTTCAAATCTCATCTTCAGTGGGGAATATGAAATGACTTTAAAGTTTACTGAGCCAAGGTGGTGCAGTGGGTAGAGTGCAGTACTGCCGGCCACTTCAGCTGACTGCTAGTTCAGCAGTTTGGCGGTTCAAATCTCACTGGCTCAAGGTTGACTCAGCCTTCCATCCTTCCGAGGTGGGTAAAATGAGGACCCGGATTGTTGGGGGCAATATGCTGACTCTCTGTAAACCGCTTAGAGAGGGCTGAAAGCCCTATGAAGCGGTATATAAGTCTACTGCTATTGCTATTGCTATTGAAGCATCCTGGTCTTCCATAACACCTCAGCAGTGCCACAGGCTGATAGCTTCCATGCCATGCCGCATTGAGGCAGTAATTGCTGCAAAAGGGGCCCAAACCAAGTACTGAGTACATATGCATGCTTATACTTTTCAGAGGTCCAATATTGTTCTATGTACAATCCTTGTTTTATTGATTGCATGTAATATTCTAATTTTCTGAGATTGTGGATTTGGGGTTTTCATAAGCTGTAAGCCATAATCATCACAATTAAGACAAATCATGGCTTGAACTATCTTGCTTTGCATGTAATGTGTCTATCTCATATATTAGTTTCACCTTTTAAGTTGCATTACTGAAATAAATGAACTTGTGCATGATATTTTAATTTTTTGAGTTTCACCTGTAAATCCACAACTTTCATAGTCACTCTGAAACAACCTGATATCCAGTGCCATGTAGCCCAGACACTCCATATCCCAAAACATTTGAATCATGGATCATCTTATAGGAAGCTGCAGATTATAGTTCAGAGATGGTTGTTGGGAAGAAACTATATATGTGTTAATGAAGCATAAAGCCTTACAAGTGCATTAGCAATTAAATGTCAAGAGAAGAAAGAATACATCACCCTTTATTGTGTGTGGGGGGGTAATTTTATTTTTGCATTAGCAAAAAAGACCTTGTTCTGTAATCTGTGAAAGATAATGGGTGTTGTCTAGTTTTTATTTTTACCCCAGACAAACAATAGCAAATTCTTGTTATGCAATGAACCATACCTACCTGCTCCAACACAGAAATGTGAAAGAGTAACGAACCAATTCCGAGACATAGGAGCAACGAGGGAATTGATGAATATGTGGCACTTAATCCTACAATTTGGGTAGGTAATAAATTACCTAAATTACCTAAATTTTCTTTTTACCCCCGTTATTTCATAAAAATGTGAAGTTAGGGCAAAAAGTGGATAAAACCCAGGTTAGTAAGAAGTACAACAATTTTAGATTCACAGGTTTGAGATCCTCACCAGATAAAGATGACTTAGCAAGAGCTCCAATCCCATAGGCATTTGAGTTTCGTTTCAGTTTGGGAAGAATTGAGGTTGTATCTTCCATTGATAGCTGAAAACAGGTCATACCAAGAAATAAACCATGAGATAGAGAAAAGGATAGAGAAAAGTAGGAGGTATTCTGATCTGAGTTTCTAAGAAAACAAGAAACATAAATCTAAAAGAGAAGGATCAAAAAAGAAAAAACAACAGTAACTGCAGAAAGTTTTTAAGGCAAGTATTAGTTTTACATCAGCTCTAATGAGATAAAGTTAGATTTGGTGTCTGGCTGGAATGTGTTTTGCTACTAATTTATAATATATTATATGAGAAGGTTAAATGACAGAAAATAAACAGCATTCAAGGTAAAACCTGTTGTGTATTTAAAGCTCCCAAGTGCTTCAGAGCATTTCTAACATAACAACTAATAACATAATACACCATCACCCTGGCAGTGGATTATAAATTTAGACAGGCTTATATCACAGTGATAGCTGTATAATTGGTGGTCTGAGTGAGTAGAGAAGAATAAGAATAAGAATGGATTACTGTTATCTGGATTCAGATAAATACTGAGTAGGTAAGGTCAGAAAGTATTTTTCAAATTTACCCAGCTGCTTTCTTATTTTGATTTAGTATAGAAACCAGAATGATAAAGTAAAGATTAGATTCCAGGAACTCTGCACAGAAGTCACTATTTCTTCTGCTCTACAGCAAGCAATAGAGCATATCTCATGTCTTAGTACTTTTTTTCTGTCCCTACTTCTCATCTTTGAATGCTACACAAAGGAAACACTCAACATTATTGTTGAGGAACATGGTGTACAATCACAAAATGAAAAGAAGAAAAAAATATAGGAAGTGAAAAAATATTGCAATTGAAATTGGGTACAAATCCTCCAAAACCATAGATGTGTCAGTTAATTTTCCTTCTATATTATCCATGCAATCTGTGAGAATCCATACTCCTGAACTGCTCCCTCTTCTTACTGAAAATCCCCTCCCCATACATACACTAGATTGGCCATTTTTCCGGAATTTGCCTTTTATTGCAAATAGTATTGTGTGGGACCCAGAAAACCCAACCATCAGAAAGAAGGTGGTTGAAGAACAGTGTTGGTTTGGGGTCCAGTAGCTACTTTCCTTTAAAATAAAAATGGCAGTATTATGCACATATATTGTAATTACTCTAGCACGTCCTATGATTTGATACTTGTCTCCAGAAAATGGGCTACAAAAGTAATTGGTTGTCTAATAAAAAATGTACTCAGAGTATTAAAGAATAGGCATTTATATTTAGCCATGATCTGAGCATTATTATATGCCTTTGAGTAGCTCATTATTGTTTGATCTAAGCAATTTATATGACAGTTAGTGATAAAATTAAATGGATGATTCCCATTTAATCACAATCTCTCCTTAGCAGAACATATGAGATCGTTATTAGAACTGTTACTCCCTGAAGAATGTACAGAATGCCAACTATGTACTTTGTATGTATACAGAATGAATATATTTGCTTTTTTCTCTATTGTTTGAGTTTTTTTCTTTTAGATAAGATGTTTTGGGGGCATTCTTGTGGTAGACTTTTGGCAAAGCACTTCCTGTAGTCCTTTTTTTAAAAATCATGTTTGTTTGTCCAAGTACAGAATATTGTGGCTAACACAATAGGAATTATGTAATGATTTTGAGTTCCAGTTTAAAACTTTAGATTGTAGATAATCTAGATAAATTTTCTTTTCTGGATATTTAGGTTTTTTGGCGATGAAGACTACAGGACCTATCTTCTTTAATGGCATTTGCATTATTTCATGAACAGTTTGAAAGGTGATTTTTATGTGTCGCTTTTACAGAATTGTATGTGTTTGCATTTATGTATACATTTATATACACGGTTCCAAGCTAGGAGAGTCTGAAAAATTAGGATAAAGTCTGTATTATTTTAAAATGCTATGATAAAAAAGAGAATGAAAATAAGGAGTCATTAAAATAGATGTTTTGGAATTATAATTGCAAATGATAATAATATCTTATAAAAATGTTTGCAACATAAAGTAAAATTAACCTATGTCCTTGAGTCCAGGCAAGCATGTTCAAAACAGCTAGCAAAGTAGTCATTCAAATATCCATCTACTTTAAGAGCGGATTTTGAATACCCACCCACGAATGGGTCAGATTTTCTGCTGCTGGGGATGGGGAGGTCTGTTGTAGGATCATGGACAAAATGTTTAGCTAATTGGAATTTGACCTTGAAACACACATATCTTCAGTGTAGTAAGCTGCCATTCAGATCCATTATTTGTTTTTCTGGATAAAGTATCAATTAGACTATTAACAGAAAAATGCTCAATCTAAGGTATGACCCAGAATTTACTAAAGCAAGATGGGTCCCTAATGGTCACCTGAAGACCCACCAGAAGCAAGGCTCTCACATAGACAGACTGACTCAGCTAGAGTGCTGTATGTACTCACATTAATGCCATCCCAGGAGAAATCTGTCCGTGTTTGCTACATAAGAATTAAGATAAAACATTAGTAACACCCAAACTCTCTCCATTCCATATTCATTTCATGTAGCAGTTGACTTTATTGCTTCCTCTACTAAGGATTTCAAAGACCAGGATACATGTTTAGGGAAGAGACTGTTCTTGATAGTAGTTACAATTGTTAAGTGTATAGTACAATAAATAAAGATTCGTGAGAAAGCAAACTGAGACGTGAGAAAATATAATTATTCCAGAATCGAAGCTGCATGGCACTGAACATCAATGATACTGTCAGATGTTCATTTAAACAATGAGTTGAAAACTTATTTATAGCAGCAGTAGATGATTAAGTAGGCATAGATTTATAAAACTGCCTAAAGCTTAGGCACAAAGCTAGCTGGGTGACCTTGGGCCAGTCACTTTCTCTCAGCTGTAGGAAGGAGGTAATGGCAAAGAACTGTGCCAAGAAAATTGCTGGCACTTATCCAGGAAGTGCCCAAAATTGGACACAACTGAACAGGAGAAAAAGTGCCTATAGAAAAATATCTTTACTTTCCCTCTTCTTATATTCTTCCATTCTAGCTTTCTTCTTTTCTCATCTTCCCTTCCTTCTGCCAAGGTGAAATACTCTTCCTGAAAGCTACCTTCCTTTTATTCTTTTCCTTACTCATCCATTTTTTGATGTGGCACTTTACTTATAGAAAAGCTTTTCTCCCAATATTTGCTCTACTTTATCTATATATAAATACTTTTCTCTCATCCTTCTCTGTCTAATTGAATTTTTCTTCCTCTTGACTCAGCTCTTCAATTCTTCCTTTCAGTTTACTAGATGATGTATCATATATTGTATCTGAGATTGCATATTGGCAGGAAAACAGTTTAGGATCGTTAGTTGACATGGCATCACAATTTCTCAGAATTTCCTATGAGTCCTCCAACAATCAGCTGATAGTGTTGAAAGGTAAGCACCATCTGCCATTGTCTTAAGAGTAACTCCTGCAACACAAGGAAGCTGGATTTACTATTGGTAGTATGATGGAAAGTGCCCAGCAATGTCATTAACTCATCATAGGAGGTCCACTTTGCTTCCTGGATGGATCTGAAGCAACCTATATAGGAATATGGTACATTCCTGAACATTTAGAAAACATTTTCCAGCACCATATGTGTCTTATCTCAAGCAATGTAGCCTCACCTAGAGTTGGATTCGTATATACATGTGAAAACATGGGAGTTTAATGCAAATTTAACCAATGAAGTGTGCTGTTTAGCCTGCTTAAGCATAGTTGTTTAGTAATGCTTGTCTATTTAATGATTCTAAGATAAAATATTAACTATTTTTATTACATGTGCTTAAAGAGAAATGACTGAAGTCACACTTTATTCTTAAGAACTTCTGCCCAGCATATTTCAAATTAAAAGAGGTTCTGCTAAAATTACTTCAGAAAATTGCTGTCTGACATTGAGAGAAAGTAGTGGTCAAAATAGACAAGATTAGTCTGGTTTAATTATTGGGCCACTAAATCTGAATGAAGGCAGAGCTCTGCGTAGTCCAATAATTATTTTATAACAGTGGTCCATGAGATGCCAGTAGAAAATTTTAAAATGGAGAAAAATGGAATCACCTGAGCCAATTCTCCTACCATTCAAATGGATATCACATTGAGTAGTCAAAATCCCCCAAAGAGAGATTTCAGGAATCACAGTCTAAGTAAGCATACATCAAAATGCTCCCATCTATTTGCAGGAGTTTCATAAAAACTAAAATGTCATGCTTGAATAGCATTTATCTACTGTATTCCAAAAAGTTCATTAAATTTCATTTCATACACCCTATTAGATAAGTAGGCCACATACAATTATCAAAGAATCAAACAAAGTTATGCAAGAAGGATAATCCATCTGAAGGCATCTACTCTATGCTGATGGATAATGAAAACACATATACACAAAGAGCCAGCCCCGTATGTTTTTCCTTAACCCTAATTTCAGTACATGGGCCTGAAAAGTTTGAACTTCTTCAGGCACTCTGATATCTAATCATGTTTTCCCTCCTGCAATTGATTGGATCTATAAACAACTTTTCTCTGTGCAAACCATCCAAGTATTGAGGGGAGAGCTGCAGGATTATAGCAGAAAGAAAAGTATATAGTGTGCTGTTTTTCCCACTGAAATTCTGCTGCTTGGTAGTTGGCAGGCTGACTGTTATGTGATTAAAAAGGGAGGACACTTCCTGCATTCATATCTTCTGCTCCATCATAATAATACTCAATCCAGTCTGGTTCTTAGCTGAGTGCCAGGGGAAAAAAAATCAGATGCCTTTAGGGGACCAGGGCTGGCCATACTTGATGCACAAGACTTACTACCAAGTCATTAAATGACCTGATCTAAGTAGAGATTCTATAGCAGAAGGAGAAAATTATCTGCATGATCACAAGAATACAAGAGGATACTGTATAGAGAACATGAGTGGTTTTATCTCGCCGGTACTCATTAGAAAAATTTCACAGATAAGGATTTATCCTAGGCACTTCATGGAATACTGCCAAGATGTTTTTGACAGCTAATAGTTCTAGAATCTTATTGGATTCAAATTCCAAACAATTATTTGGTTTCCTGCCAATCTATATCAAAATGAAAATTCAAAAAAACTTATCACTGTCTACAATAAAACATTTCCACCCCTTTTGACTATTTGAAAGATCCCGGATCTTCATCCTGGAATATATTTGTTTCTGTGGGCTTGGTTGGAGACTTTTCTTTGCTGATGTTCCTTGTATGCTCTCTTATCTATGAAGTGGAATGAATGCTCACCTCAGTAGATGGTCTGTGGATGCTGCTTCCATGGAGTGAGCTGGTGCTGTCCATATTGATCTGGTCCACATCTTTTAGCCCTTTCCAGTCCACAGCAATCACTTCGTTTCCTGAAGCCACATAAAAAGTAATCAGAGTACCTACTTTTGTAGTGATTACATTCCAAAATTTCCTTGGCTTGGGATGTCCCATAGCTGATATAAAATGTTAATTTAAGCAGGAATCTCTGAGGAAGGCAGTCACACATTTCATTAGGATATCCCCTTCACCCCAAGGATGATAATATCCTATTGAATCAAACTATGATCTGTTGTTTTTAAAAATGTTAGAAGTTTGGATGAAATAGTGTGATTGGCTGAAATATTGTTGAATGCCAGGAAAATTGCAAGATTCATCAATCATTGAAACTGAGAGAAAAGAGACCCCTGGATTTCAGAACAGCATTACAGCCAAGTTTTAAGAAAATGTGGTATCACTTCAGACTCTTAGCACACACTTGGCAAATTAGAAGTTTAATAAATAAATAAAAACTGGCATTTGGGGTCCATCAAAAGAATCAAATCAACATTAAGATCAAATATAAATTATGAAGATGAATATCATCTACAGAGTGGTGATCCTTAAGTGCCTTCCCTTTGAGTCCCTTCTGAGGACAACAACTGAAAACTGATGGCCCAATTTCCTGCTCTTCTTAGGTGGGAAATTATACTGCAAGCTAAAAAAAAGTCAGATCATAAACTAAAAGAAAAAAGAAACTCTTCAAACACCTGGGAAAAAACAGTGCTACCCAATTGTATTTAAAATTCCCACCCATCCTTATACATCCCCTTATACATGTGGCCCTTGGTCACAAAATTTGCTCATCCTAAACCAGTAATGTACATATGTTAAACATATGAGTAGAATATTAATAGTTACACTATAAACCTTAAATACCACACAGAGACTAGTTTCAAATAGGATTTGTACAGACAGACATTTAAACAGGACTTGTCATTCTTTTCTCCCTAATCAAGAGCCTGCCTGTTTCACAAACCATTCCCCATAACCAAAATACATTGATAGATCATTAGATCATGCAGTCATGTGTCTTCCTCTCCCCTCCCATTTTTCAGATAGCTGAAGCAGTTCTAGGCAAAACAGGATGAATTTTAAATGCCACCTAATCAATACTGTACAAAGCCGTCTGAAGAAAACTTACAAAACTAGCTTCTTTTCTTAATCTGATCCTAAATAGTAAATGTATGTCATATGATGCATTAAATAACTTCTCAGGAAAATGGGGATAATAATGCTAAATGTTTTGCTGTAACTATGGACAGAGAAAAATTTAAAGCAGATTCAAATCCACAGGGTGTTTCAATTATTAGCACTTAATATGTATTTGAAAGTATTGGGCACTTGCCAGAAAGTGTGCGATTAAATATAAATTTATGTTTAATTGGTGTGTACCTCATGGACTTCATGGCAAAATGTTGCCATGACATTCAATAGTGCAAGCACAAAAGAGCTAACTTAAATGGAAGGAATGAAGCAACACTAAGTGCAGAACACCAAGCTGTTGGCTTGTTCAAGCAAAGCAGAAAAGAAAGCCTGGAGTGTGGTCCAATAGGACTCTGGCTTTGCACACATGAGCACTCCCGCTCTGCCTGGATAAACTAATACGTTAAATCCAGAGTACAGGAATTCCTGGGACATGCTAGTTTTGCCCCATGAAACATTGCCCCCCCCCTCAGTCCCCGCAACTCATATTCACCTTAGTGTAGTCATAATTATACTCGTGCATTCATTATACTAATTTTTGTTTCCTTCCTTCATGGAGGTCTGAGATAGTTAATTTCTATTGTGTTCTTCCATGATATAGTTGGATTTGTGAGATTTTCACCATAGAATTGGGCTGCTTATATTACCTAATATAGAGATACATTCATAAATAGTATGAATATTATGAGGGATGAATTCAAAGATTTTATAGGTTTAGATGTTATTGGGTTGGGCAGATGAACTTCTTTGCCTTGCATGGGAGATCAATGGCACTCTAATCTTTTAAACTATTTGCTGTGCTTAATTGGATAGTGTTATGCTTTCATTCTTCTTTATATTTTCATTGACAGTTTTCAATGCACTCTCCAATGGAAGTCTTTAAAAGATTAAATGTCATTGCATAAAAGTGAAATACCCATCTTTGGTGAATGGATGGCTCTGAGGTTGTCCATCTTTGCTACTAGGAGTGCTGTAAAATTGATGCAAAAAACATTGTCTCTGGATTTTTATAATTCCTTAGCTCGATACGATTTGCCAAATAGTTTGGAAATTTGGACAACAGTTTCTGTGTCATAAAATAACTGCAGTGGGATTGTATGCAGCACTTCATTTCTGTGACGTGACCACGACGATGCTGTCTAGAAGAACACACAGCACAAAGTCAGTATGCAGCCCTCACCCTTTTCTTTGGCCCAGTTTGACTATTTACATTTGATTATGCATGTCAGTAAATTATTACTTTTACAATATACAATTCGATGAAATAGTATCTGCAAAGCAATATATTACAGGTTATTTAAAAATATTTAGCAGTATTTGCTATAAACCCCATAATCACTTCAGGAAGAAAAACAAGTCTTTCTGAATTCCTTATACAGGTCCTATTGTTCAAGCACAAAAAAAATATTTTTCTTAGGAGGTCCTCAAGGGAGTTCTTTTCTAGCCAAATTGTGGAATCTATCACAGAAGCTCTATTTATAATGAATAATTACAAAATACAAATCCCCATTTTTATACTTTATTCTTACCAGCACAGCCCAAATATTATGTGGTATAAAATTATTGTTCATCTAGTGATGACTGATTATTATACAATTATACGGAACAATTATACAGGACAATTATATAAACAGCTACAGTTTGTACCAATTTGATTTTGGGGGGGGGGGAGCTGCAAAGCGAAAATGGAAGACAAGTCTGCAAATCCACCTTGACAAACATCTTTATGTTATGATGCTTGTTTTAGTATTGTTGTTTGGGGGGGGGGGAGCTGCACGAGAAGGAGG